TCAACCACCAGCAGGAAGTAGCGCTCGTGACCCTGTCCACGGACGCGGGCCGGGCCCCACACGTCCATGTGAAGCGTCTGCAGCGGGGCCTCTGTCGGGGGAAACTCAGAGGAGTGAGGGGCAGCCCGGAGCCACCCCTCGACACAGGGAACACAGGGAGGACCAGGCCCTGGAGGAAGGGGAGAGAGGGACCGGGGGAGACCAGACACAAGGACACGGGAAGCCATGCCTCGGAGACGAGGCAGGGAGGGGTGACCAAGACGGTGGTGCCACAGGAGAGTCTCGTGAGACAGGAGGCGACACGAGCAGGGGGCAGACTCAGGACCAGACCTGGACGCTGCAGCAAACACCTGACGCGACGCAGCTTCCTGGCTAGACGCAGGGACAAGAGGAGACCCAGTGGTCAGGGTGTAGAGGCTCGACCCTGGCCGACGCGTAAACGTGGCCAGGTGCCGGCCTGTGCGAGCGTCCGAGCAGTGGGTCACCCGCTGACTCGCAGGAGTAAACTGGTGAACCCCCGTATCCTGCAGGTCAGCACCACTCACCAAGTTCGTAGAGAACGAGGGGAGGTAAAGACCAGACAAGGTGCCAGAGGGGGCAGCCGGACACGGGAGGACAGTGGAGAAGTGAGAGAGGACAGGACCCCCAGAGGGGTCTGCCAGGGAGACTGCAACCAGCCGACCAAGCGGCGTGAGTGTGGTGCGGTCTCGAAAGAAGGAGCGAGAAGCCCCTGAGTCATGTGTGAAGGTGAGGGAGGCCGAAGCCGACGTGGTACCTGAGAGCGCAGACTCACCAGCACCTGAGGGCGCAGACGCACTGGCACCTAGAGCAGCAGCCTCACCAGCACCTAGAGCAGCAGTACCAATGCCCGGGTCGGGCGGGAAACACCGGTAACAGTCACCCTCATCACTAATAATCACAGCATACATGGCAACAAGGATAGCATCAAAGTCAAGATCATAGATAGCTACGCGTGCCCTAGAATGCTCTCCCCAGCGGGGGATCTCACTGGCCTCCGGGAACTGCTGACGCCAAGCATCCGTCAGGCGGCCAAAGCAGCGCTGGGTGGGGTGGGCACCCCCACACTGCTCACCCGCGCGTTCGCCGGAGCGAAGGACGTAGGTGCACGGACCAAAACTCCCACCACGCTGATGCTGCGCGTACCACTCACGGAGCTGCTGAGGGGGAGGAATGTCCCGAGAACGCTGCTGCTGTTGCTTCTGCTGGCGCTGACCACCACGAGGGCTGCTCCGCTGCGAAGCGCCACCCCGACCACCGCCACCTCCTCCACCACCGCCTCCTCCACCTCCGCCACCACCGCCGCCTCCGCTAGCACCGCCGCCGCCTCCACTGCTGCCACCGACACCTCCACCCCCGCCACCACTCCCACCGCCACCCCCACTCCCTCCGCCGCCTCCACCGCCACCTCCACCGCCTTCGCTAGCTCCACCCGCGCCCTTGCCCCCCTTGCCCTTGCCAGAGCGGCGTCTCCTGCTAGGGGCAGACGCCGCACCGACCGACTCAAGACCAACGAGGTCGGCCGCAGCGGCAGAGGCGACAGAGGGCAAAAGGGGGGAAGGAGAACACCCCTCAAAGATGGGGGTGCGAGGGTCACCACGAGAGGCTCCTACAGCGACTATGCTCTTCTCTGCTGCTAGGAGGGCCTTCTCTAAGAGGTCAACAGTGAGAGTGGTGGGACAGACTTACAGGAAGTGGTCCCTGACTACACGAAGGGAGTCAAGGAGGCGGGTGACTATATAATAGAGAGTGATGTACATTGGGGGGGGGTTCTTCGCGCGGAAGTCAGCAGGAAGCGCGGCGCGGTAGCAAGTGTCACTAGTGCGGAGGTGCGTAATGAGGTCAGCGACTGTGGGAAAGGCAGCAAGGTCAGGGAAGAGGTACGGTAGCATGAGGCGGCTCAGTGCAGCAGTGGCAGGGGAAGAGTAGCGCGCAACTACAGCGTCGTACAAGGTCTGAGCACTCTTGTACTGACTAAAGTGCGCGCGCTCAGTGGTAGGCAGGTGGCGACGCACAGCAAGACGTGCAGCAGCATCGCGCGTGGCCCACTGGGAGCGAACAGTGGGGTCAGCATCAGCAGCAGGGGCAGGAGAGGCGCCAGAGGTGAGGTCAAGGAGAGAGAGACCGTCTGCCCTATCGCACTGTAAGAATAGCTGCAGGTCGACGACCCAGACCTCAAAGTCAATGGCTCGACCCTCAGCGTCAAACGCGAGGACACTAGGGGTAGGCATGACAACAGTAGACTAGCAGTACCAACTGTAGGACAGGGGCAGTGCAGTGACAGAAGCGCTGCTCTCACCAGACAGGGCGGTTCGGGCAGCTCAGTAGCACAGCAACACGGCAACACGGCTGCTCGGACGGCTCAGCAGCAACTGGGGCTCCGCGGCACCAGCGGCTCGGCTCCTCAGGTGGCTCGGGCGGCTCGGGCGGGTCAGGCGGCTCGGGCGGCTCGCCTCCTTAGCGGCTTAGGTGGCTCGGTCGGCTCGCGCAGGTCGGGCGGCTCGGGCTGCTCGGGCGGCTCGGCTCCTCAGCGGCTCAGGCGGCTCGGGCGGCTCGGGCAGCTCGGGCGGCTCGGGCGGCTCGGGCGGCGCGGGCGGTGTAGGGCGGTAGGGCCGCTGGTAGGGTGGCGGGGCCGCAAGGTAGGTGGCGGGGCCGCAGTGGGAGGGGCGGCGGGGCCGGAGTGAAGGGCGGCGGGGCCGCCGTGAAGGGCGGCGGGGCCGGTGAGAGAGGCGGCGGGGCCGCAGAGAAGGGCAACGGGGCCGCTAAGAAGGGCGGCGGGGCCGCAGCGAGAGAGGCGGCGGGGCCGCAGCGAAGGGCGGCGGGGCCGCTGAGATGGGCGGCAGGGCTGCAGCGAAGGGCGGCGGGGCCTCAGTGTGAGGCGGCGGGGCCGCAGGGAAGGGCGGCGGGGCTGCAATGTGAGGCGGCGGGGCCGCAGCGAAGGGCGGCGGGGCCGCAACGAAGGGCGGCGGGGCCGCTGAGACGGGCGGCGGGGCCGCAGCGAAGGGCGGCGGGGCCGCTGAGAAGGGCGGCGGGGCCGTAGCGAGAGAGGCGGCGGGGCCGCAGCAAAGGGTGGCGGGGCCGCTGAGACGGGTGGCGGGGCCGCAGTGAAGGGCGGCGGGGCCGCAGTGAAGGGCTGCGGGGCCGCAGCGAAGGGCGGCAGAGCCGCAGCGAAGGGCGGCGGGGCCGCAGCGAAGGGCGGCGGGGCCGAATCGACGGGCTGCGGGGCCGCTAGGGCGTTGGGGCCGCTAGGGCGGCTCGATGAAGTGAGAGCCCGGAGCGCGACTCGGGCTGAGCGCGCTTCGGGCAAGAAAAAAAAACTCGATGTGGTGGGCCCTAGGCACAGTTCCCACGGGGGAACCTGCTCGATACCATGAGGAAATTAGAAGGAGAATGAAAATGACTATGGAATGAAAGTGATACAAATATGCAACCCTAGAAATGTGTACCCCATATGGGCTACCCCACTAAAGCCTAGACAACATTATAATTTGACACATGGGATACCAACATTGATCATCAACTTCTGGCGGCAGTTCGGCACGCGACTACAGTTCAGTTCCTCGTACCACCCCGAGACCGACGGACAGTCAGAACGGACAAATCAGACCATCGACGACCCAACAACGTAGGAACATGCAACATGCGACGGAACATGCGACAGCTCATCCGAGCCACATGCGACGACCCAACATGCGACGGAACATGCGACATGACCCAACAACGTAGGAACATGCGACAGCTCATCCGAGCCACATGCGACGACCCAACATTGTAGGAACAGCAACTTCCGCTCATCGAGTTCGCATACAACAACTCGCCATCTGCCACGACCCAACAGTCACCGTGTTACCTGAAATACGCACAAGACCCCACAGTACACATGAACCTGAATCCCGACAACCCGGTACCACGCGCACAAAAGTTCGCAGAAATTTTACAAGCAGCACGGACTCGAGCGGCAGACGCAATAAAAAAATCAAACATCATCACTAAGCGCAACGCCGACCGCCACCGCCGACCCGTCACTTACCAGCCCGACGACCTCGTTTTACTCGACACCCAGAACCTCCGCCTGCCCATTACCCCAAAACTCCGCCCTCAATATTGTGGGCCATTTCGGATCAGCCACATGATCACCCCCGTTACCGCCCACCTCCTCCTCCCTGCTGACTAGTACGTCAGCCTGTCATTCCACGCCAGCCTCCTCCGCCCATAAGTCCCATCCACCAGCCAACTGCCTCGCAATTGCCCAACCAACATGACACGACCGCCAACAGAGCCAATTATCACACCCAAAAAAAATATTGAGCCACGGGAGTTCGTGACCCACGTGGAGCCCGCATAATCGAATTCCTGATCCGCTGGAGAGACAGCAGGCTCACTGAAGACAACTACATTCCCCTACACATAATCAAAAACCACCTTGTCCTCACCGAGTACCTGCGCAGCTGAAATTTTCGGGATGTACACGCGCTTTCGTAAGGAGGACCTCCTTGGGGGGGGGGGGGGGTAGTGTAAGGAAAAATCATTTTCCTTACTTCGCGTCCCTGCTCAGCGTGTACACCACTGTTCCCGCCAACAGCACCCAACAGTAAGCCGTTATCACTCGCGACACTCGCCTCGACCACTGTTCCTGCCACTGTTCACGACGCGACCCAACCTCACGGTTCGGTTGGTAACCCACGCTCTGGACTTCCGCCTCGACAATTCCCAACCTCGGCGCTAGGCCCATCACGCACCCCATTTTCATGCATTACCGTTACCACTGTAGCTTTGCTATATATTCTTCACTAATGCCTTCGCTCATTGTATTGTTTTGCTTTGATAGTGCAATTTTTACTCGCTCGCTCAATTACACTCGTAACACTCACGATAATATGCCTTGAACCAACTGACAGCGTTTTAAGGAAAAAAAAAAAGAAACTTGTTTTTTAGGGTACTTACTGGCTTGAATGTGTATAACGTTCCCTGCTACACATCCATCATTGATTCCCCGTCTTTTCCTTACCCTTGGGCTGACACGTGAGCTTGTGCGAGGGCCAGTGGGCCTTTTGGCACTCCTTGATGCAATAGGCAGCCTTGCCACACCGCGGGGAGGCACAGCCGCGCAGGCATCCCTTGCCTTTTCGCGTCTCAGCTCCAAACCTCTCACCAGGGGCAGCACTAGCAGCAACAGCAGCATGGGGGGCAGCGGCAGCACTGCCAGCAGCTGCAGTACGGGCGTCCACATAGGCCTGGGGGCAGTAGCTGGTCTCCCCCAGCAGCATCTCCCTCACACACGCAGAGGATCCCCCCCCCCTCCCGCCCACGGCTCCAGGTATGATGCCACTGCCTTCCCCCTCCATCCCTCCACATTCCCCGTGCCCCCAATCGCACCACTGGCACCAGGGTCACCAGCAGCAATGACCATGGAAATCAAAGCTTCCTTCCTTGCAGCCGCAATAGCCACATTGTCCCTCATGGTACCTCATGCCCGCACAGCACTCATCCAACACCTCCTCCTCCACCAGCCCTGCTCCCTTAGGAGCCGCCCACAGCAGCGTCGAGCCATGCTCCTCCAAAGCTGGCCATGCATTCCCAGCCGCCATGCGCCAGCTGTTCACCTCCTCCCACATCCTCCACTCCTCCTCCCCCTGATGCTGCTGCTGCTGCCTCGCCCTCCCCGCATGCACGCCCCCTTCCTGCCCTACAGGCTCAAGAATGGCATCAAACCTTTCCTCCTGGGCAATGACGTGTGTGCCAAAGAAGATCAGCAGAAGGTTATGCTCCTCCATCACGCCTTCCAGCAGCGCCACCACCAGCGAGTCCGGAACCACCGCAGGGAGCGGCGCCACGCCCAGATTCTCCAGTAGGCTTCTGAAGCGGGCGGAGCAGGTCAGGAGGAGCGAGAGGAGGCAGCGCAGCAGCGCGGACGACGGGCGGTAGGCGAAGGAGGCCACAAGAGACGTGAGCTTCATGGCCAGGTAATACGTGTCGATGCAACGGTTACAGCGGGTGCAAGCAGGTGCACGCAAAATGTTGCATGCGATCATCTCTATCAAGATATCAACTTGGATTCTGGACCGTAGGATCAGCTTTAACCTGCCATGAGCAAACGGCCCCAGAGCAAGAGCAGCCCAAGCTCGATCCCCGAGGCCCAAGCGGCCAGCCCAGGAGGTGAGAGCGTGGGCCAGAGGGCCGTTCCTGCCCTCCCTTGCCAGCCTTGCAGGCGCGAACCTTCTCAGGAACTCCTCCACGTGGTGGCCCAGTGTGGGGAAGTAGGGGCCGCTTGTGTTCTCCTCCAGAGTGTACCCGCTACCACGGTTGGTGTGCGAAGACGAAGAGGGCAGGTTCAGCTCCCTGACGTTGTGCTCCTTCTTTACCTCCTTCTTGTCCACCTCATCACCCTGAAACGCCCCCACGTGCAATGTCTTAATCCCCATGAACTTTTCAGGGTCCTTCTCACGCACAGCCACTGCCGCCCTGTCCCCCTCCAGAAACTCCTTCCAGCCCGGCACTGCTGAACCTTCCGAGCCTGTGGTGGAAGGAAGCTTGGGCGCAGCGCCGAATCTTTGCAGCAGGTTTGGAAGGTCGTGAATCGGATGTGGGAGGGCGATGGCAGGCTTTTTCTGGTCCGAGCATGTGCAACGGTTGGCAGGGTTAACCTTGAAACCGTAGAGTCACACCCATCGCAGCAGGCAGGGGGCTCGGTACGTGAACAGTGCCACCACCATGTTACTGTTCACCGGCACTTGCCTGGCGCCACTTGCAGTGTTGGATCCCTTGGTTGCACCTGTGGACCCGACGGCTGGAGCAGCAGCAACTGTTGCTGGTGCGTCTGATTCCACTGCTCGCTTCCCTCGATCCTGCACTCCCCTGCCCTCTGTGCTTCTCTCCCCCCTGAAAATCGATGAAGTGCCTCTTCCACAGCGGCCTCCTCCACGCTCTCCTTGTGGCGGCTGGCAGCACTGTTGGAGAAGATGAAAGCAGCAGCGCGGGGTGAATGGCTGCTAGCAGAAGAGAGTGACACTCTTGAACGTGAACTCAGTGGGGTGCACACCAGATACCACCATGCCACTATTATTGCCACTCATATCACTACTGCCACACTGCCCCTAGCACTGTTGGCATTGCTGCTGCCGCTGCTGCCGGGTGGGTCTCCCATAGCCCCATTCGCTCTTCCCTCAGCTCCCTTGTCTTCACTACACTGCGAGCAGCTGTAGCGGTACTGCTCGCCTGCTAGCCCTCCCTGACCGATAATCTCCCCAAGGCGCCACACATACTCCTCCCACTCCATCCCCTTCAACCCCTCCCTCCTCTCCTCCCCCCTTCCCCCCTCTGACCCCCGACTTCCCCCTACCCCTCCCGCCTCCCCGTGCGCGCCCCTCCCCCCCGGCAGCAGTGGCAACGGGTGGGCAGCAAAGCCGGTCTCCAAGGGTTGCTTGCCCTTCACTCCCAGCACCTGCGGCAGCAGCGACGCCAAGCAGTCGCCCCCAGCCTGCCGCCCCACCCAGAACTGGGACACTAACTGCGGAAAAATCACAGTAGCATACCAAATATGGACACGCCAGAGGGTGACGAAGCGGGGGAACTTGGCGACAAACACAATGAAAGCAGCGATGGACACGGTAACGCGTCTAGCAGTGGCTGCACTGCAAGCTGCACCACCATAGTTCTTGATTGGCTGCCACTTTGGTGCATCTAGCTGCAGCGGTGTCTCTAGCTCCGGTAGCCACACGCGCAGCAGCCAGACCAGCAACACCTAGAAGTGCTGTCAGCTGGCGCCTGAGATCCTGGAGGTCCATGAGCAGGCCGACACATGGCTCTGCCAGCCATTCGAGTATCATCGCCTCTGCAGCATCCACAGGCGCCGCGTCCACCTTCCACCGATACTACAGCGCTACCGATGGCGCTGTTGCGCGCTCTTTAGCAGCAGCAATGGCAACAGTAGCTGCAGCGCTGGCCCTGCATGGAGGGCGGCGGAAAGGGGCGGAGAGCGGGACGGTGGCGGAGTAGGCGAGGATTGAGGGCGGGGGCTTGTTGGACAGGCGGAAGGGTGGCATGGAGGGAACCACTTGATGTTGCAGGTGGATGCGCAGCGAGACGAGACCTTAGACATGGAAGGCAACGAGCGGGGATATGTGGAGCACGCGAGGGAGGCAGCAGGCGCAGAGGGAGTGTGACCACGTCAGGTGCATGTCCACGTAGTGCACCATGTGCGGCCGGGAGAGTGGCATGTGCTCCGCGTGATGCAGGGGGAGTGGCGGCTGCTCCGCTGGAGGGCTTTTGGCCCCGCCACTGCTGCTCCTGCCACTGTCGCTGCTCTTGTCACTGCTCGTGCTGTTGCTGCTGCCGTTGGTGATGCAGCCAGGTAAGGCAGCTTGTGACGAGGTGCTGGTGCTAGTGGCAGGAGTGCTGGTGCTGGTGGTATCCGTGGCAGGCGCATGGAGAGGAGAAGATTCAGTGGCTGCGGAGGCGGAGACAAGTGAGAAGGAGATAGGCGCAGATGTGGAGTGAGGCGCAGGCGTGGGGACAGGAGCAGAGATAAGAGGAGAGCCAGAGTCACAAGCAGGTGGTGGTGAGATCTCAGGATGGGAACTCCCATACGGAACGGCAGTGGTGGTGGTGGTGGTGGTGTCACCTTGAAGGGCTGCAAGCGGGGCATGCGGGGGATCAGTGACCATTGGACTCCTCTCCTCCCCATCTGCTATTTATTTTTCGCCAACCACAGCATTATTCGTGCCACTGATGCCGCTGTTTTCGCTAGCGATGACCTACTCATGATTCTCGCGCTTCACCTCCTTTGATTCCACGGCCATAATTTTTATCATTGTACCCGATTTAAGCCTCGCCTTGACAGAAAATATAGTAGGTGATAAGTACACCACTTGTCCAATAGCCATGAACCGAATAGCCTGCTTCCCTTCGTCCTCGCTGCTCCCCTTTGTTAAGACTAGGAATGGTCATTAGGTCAAAGGGGAGGGGGTACAAGTACAATGTCGAGAGAATTGTTGTACCCCCTAAGGCTAAACCCCCTACAGGCTAGTACGATATGAACATATAAGTTTGACACACCCCCATAGGCGAAGTTGGGGATAGCCTGAGCAAGCAATGGTCACAAGACCAGTCAGGAGAAGAAGCAAAGCAGAGCAAAGCTCGGGGTGGATCTCAAGATCACCACGCATTCCGAGCACAAGCAAGCGGCCACAAGGCCAGTTCACATGCAGAGTTTATAATAACAAGAGCAGTACACTGATCACCACCTAGCAAGTATAAGCATGCAGGTATACTCAAATATATCAGTGTACAATAAGGGCAAGGCAAGATCAAGAGACAAGCAGGTGAGGCAGGGTGGGCACAAGCCCAAGAGCAGTACAGAAACGCTGATGATCACTAGACCCAAGGACCTTGATGAAGACATCAGCAGTGTTGACATCTCGCGTGAGGAAGTAACGCATAGCGATGTGCTTCGTTCCGTGCTCCAGTCTCTGGTCCTGACACAAGGCAATTATGACCTTGTTGTCGACGTACAGAACCGGAGGAGAACGAGGCCTCTCACCCAAGTAGGCCAGCAGGTGGGTCAGCCAGCGTAGCTTCTGTGCAGCCATAACCCCAGTGTACATCTCGGCCTCACAGCTGGAACTAAGTACAGAAGACGAGCGAGTGGACCTCAACGAGACAGAACCAGCTCCGAGGCTAAAACTGTAACCCTGTGTCGACCGGTCAGTCATCAGGTCGTCAGCCCAAGATGCGTCCGAGTGACAGGTTAGAACAACTGAACCCTGTCCTCCAAGCACAAGCACCATGCCCGATGTAATGCACAAGTAACGCAATACCACGACTAGCAGCGAAAGTCGAGTTTCTAGGTGCGAGCGGAAGGCGACGTGGAAATACGACGAGCAGAAATGCGACGACCGTTAATCGAGGATTTGTTTCAACACGGCGGAAAACGGTGACTTGATTGCCACTGCTACAAACGGCCTTCGAGGAACTGCGACAGTTGAAATCCGAGCGACGAAAGGCGACGAACGGGGACCGAATGATTGAACGCGACGAGACGTAAGGCGACGCTGAAAGCGGGAGCACGACAGTCAAGCACGAGCAGAATGCGGCGACGGGCGAAACCCTAAACGCGGCGACGAGCTCGGAGCAGAACGCGATGGTATGCTTGACTGCTCATTACAATAAGCGGCCGACTCGGACAGTGTCGCTAGAACGCACTGGTGGAACTGAGTGACTCACTAGGTGAAGTTGGGCTCTCTTGATCGCTAGAGTTTTGGTATACGAACTCACAAGCGAAGTTGCTCAAGTTCTAAACCAGCGAAATCGGTTTTGCTGTTGGTTTGGAAACCCCCACCTCCCTCCCGAAACCTTCCGCCTCGATTGTTCGTTTCTCCGCAGACAGGTACTTCTCGAGAGAGTGTTACCCTGTTTTCAAGTGATAAACCTTTGCCCCCCGCTTGAGGTATGTAGACCGCAGCTTTAACACTCTAGTGCAATCCTCGCTACTTCAATTCATTGCACCGGTAACACAACCCATTCCAAACATTCATACCAGGGTTACAGGCACATGCAGTAGCTTTGAGTCCGGACCGGAACACTCATCTGTAGAGCATGGAAGTAGGGTTGACTGTCGGACTGTCTGGAAGCCCGAACGTTGTTTCCCCGTCGGTGTTGTCTTGCTGAAATGCGGGCTGAGCGAAGCGCCGGCGCGGTCATACGCACTCCGTTCGTGTATGCGTCGAGTATGGCACCTGAGGGCCGGTCTGCCAGTCGGACTCAGCAGTCGGTGGCTCCAGGAATGTGTCCCGCGATCCAGGACAGACCGACTCAGTCGGTGGCTCCAGGAATTGTACTGAGTCAGTACAGTGTCGTGAATCAAGGACATCCGACTCCGAGTCGCCAGTCCCTCCACGCATTGTACCGACTCACGAACTTCATACCTGCTACTCGCAGCTAGCTTGGAACGCTCGTTTCGAGAACATCTGCGCCCAGACGTGTGTTTCCGGCAGCAACCACGCCCGCTAGCAAACGCCGCCTCGAGCATCACCCTACTCACGTCATCATGGACTTTCTCGCCTTCGTGCTTCTTCTCGCCGCGCTTCTCTTCCCCGCCGCCACCACCGCCACCGCCACCGCCACCGCCACGGCCACGGCCCTGGATGGCGATCATAGCAGCAGTGTGGTGACCAGGCGCGTGTCGCGTGTTTCTCCAGATCATGCCGCATCTTTCGTCGCAGGCCTTCGTCGTCCGTCCGTCGCTCGTCGCCTGAGCGACGGAGTGGCACGGCCACCCGCGGCGAGCCCCCGGCCGGGCGATGTGAAGCTCGCACCGTCGCAATGTGAGTCGCCTTCGTACGCGATAAACGTCAGCCACGTGATCGCAATTTGAGTCGCCTTCAATTCCAAAGGTTTCTCCTCCTCCCTTCCTCTCTCCCTCCCCCTCTCTCTGGCCTCTCCAATTCTTATCCTACTCCGCCTCCCCCTTCCTTCCTTCACCCCCTCCCTCTCCCCTGCTCCCCACCCTCCCTTCCGCGGCGGACCTGGCAGTGGCGGCGCTGGTGGCGCTGACGGGGTGGGAGGCGGCGGAGCTGTGCTCCCAGTGGACGGGCGTCACGTGCGATGACAGAGGCATGGTCACCAAGATGTAAACCACATGCTGGATTCAGGGCCGCGCGCGCGCGCGCGCGCGTGTGTGTGTGTGTGTGTGCATGCGTGTGCATGCATGTGCATCCTTTCAACCTCACGATGAAGCATCCCCACCAATATAACTCAACTCATCTCCGTATTCCCCGTCACCTCATGCTGCATGCCGCTGTGCTGTGCGCTCTGCTACCCCATCTGTGATTCGCTGTGCTGCAGAGAGTTCCAAGTGCTCATCTCCGCGGGCACCCTCACCCCGCCTGGACGCCTCCCCGCTGACATCGCTGCCTTCACCGCCCTCCAAGTCCTGTCAGGCCCTCCCACTCTCATTCTCCCCACTCCCACTCTCCTCCACTCATCCTTTAATATGTTCGAATCGAAGCACACCTTTTTGCTCTTTTCTCCATTGGCTCACTCACCCACCTTGGTCAGACCAGCCACTACCCCCATACAATCACCCCTCAACCATCCCCTCTTCTCCTTCCCGGTAACCCACCTGCCTCTCTCTCGCCAGGAACCTGGGCGGCCAGGACCTCTCGGGCCCCATCCCCACGGACGCATTTCGCAACCTCACCTCCCTCCAGGAACTGTGAGCGAAGCCATGCCGTGCCGTACTAGATTCGCACCTTGCATGTTCCGTCCTCTTGCTCCTCTTTTAGTTATTGCTGTTAAGTTATTTTGTTTGGTTTTTGTTTGTTTGTTTGGTTTTTTTTTTTGTTTTCCTTCTCATGCTGATAAACCTCTTCCTCATCTCATCTCCCATCGCCACTCTCTCCCTCACCCCACCCACCGCCCTGCAGCGATCTCTCTTCCAACCCTTTGAACGGCAGCCTGGAGTTTCTTGCCTTCCTGCCCTCCTTGCAATACCTGTACGCCCCCGTTCCTCTCCAAGTCAAGTCACTTCACCTTGTGTACTGGATCCCCTGTTGAGAACTTTCAAGATTGCGCGGCTGTTCATTCATCCCACAAGTGCCGATCCTCAATCGCTTTTGTACTGCTCCAACCCAACATGCACTCAGTCAGTCTCATGCAAGCGCACTCAACTCCCCATCTGTCCTCCCCACACACGGCAGTGATCTGCACGCCACTGACCTGACTGGGGAGATTCCTGCTGCGCTCGGCAAAGCCACCGCCCTCTCATACCTGTGAGTCACGTCCTTCCCTCCCTGCTCTGCCCTCTCGCCCACCGGAGCGTAGGTGTCGTCGTGTCGACAGCAGGGGTGGTGTGTGAGAGGAATGAGAGGAGGTGTGCATTCAGTTCATAGAGTTAGGTTTGTTTCGCGTTAACTAGGTAACCAGGTTAAGGGTCAAGTGCACTGGTGTGTCCCTCCCGCCCGCTTGCGCTCTCTCTTTTCGCTTGTGCTTGGCCGTTTGTTCCTTCAGTGTGTGCTCTATTGCTGCACTCTGCACTACAATTCGCTGTCACTTTCACTATGGTTCTCCTCTACTCACGTTTCCTCCCCTCGTTTTTTTCTTGGTCGTTCCGTAATTCTCTTTCCACTTCCTGTCCTTTCTTCTCCTCTCTTCTTCATTACTCGCCTCTCCTCTCCCTTGTTCTCCTCCCCGCTCTCTGGTCTCTCCTCTCTTTCCCCCACCAGCTCCCTCGCATACATCAACCTCACAGCAGCAGAGCTCCCTGCCTCTCTCTCCTCCCTCACCAGACTCGCCTACCTGTAAGTAACTGGATTCTGGACGGTAGGGGATACATACTGGATACTGGATAGAGACACAACCCCCCGCGAGTTGTGGACAACTTACAGTGCGAAACGCAACTTGCTGAGGCCCTCTCTCTCTTCTTCCCGCTGCTTCTCGCCCTCTCTGTGCTTGCTGCGTCGCACCAAGTAGGGTGTATGGTAGTTCCCCATGAGTTGCCCCATGAGTTGCCCCATGAGTTGCCCCATGAGCTGCCCCATGAGTTGCCCCATGAGTTGCCCCATGAGTTGCCCCATGAGTTGCCCCATGAGTTGCCCCATGAGCTGCCGCATGAGCTGCCCCATGAGTTGCCCCATGAGTTGCCCCATGAGTTGCCCCATGAGCTGCCCCATGAGTTGCCCCATGAGCTGCCCCATGAGTTGCCCCATGAGTTGCCCCATGAGTTGCCCCATGAGTTGCCCCATGAGTTGCCCCATGAGCTGCCCCATGAGTTGCCCCATGAGCTGCCCCATGAGTTGCCCCATGAGTTGCCCCATGAGTTGCCCCATGAGCTGCCCCATGAGTTGCCCCATGAGTTGCCCCATGAGTTGCCCCATGAGCTGCCCCATGATTTGCCCCATGAGCTGCCCCATGAGCTGCCCCATGAGTTGCCCCATGAGTTGCCCCATGAGTGCTTGTTTCTCATTTGGGTTGGGCTGTAAGGGTCAGCTGGCAGCGGTACAACAGTTGGTCGTGGTCGTGGATGGTTGATCTCTTTCCTCCTTGATATATCTGCTCATGCATTTTATACTCAGTGATTCAGGCAAGTTGCTCCTATTGCTTGTGCATGCAAGCAACGTTACCACGCCCCGTCCTGCCCCCCCCCATCAAGCAGTGACCTGAGCTATCTCAGTTTCGCCAGCGTGCCATCGTGGATCGGACAACTCCCCCACCTGCAGTTCCTGTAATTACCACCAACCCTGCTCTTTCCCCCTTCTTTTCGCCAGCATTGTGTCTCAGGTGTGACTCTCACGTTGCTCTAGGCTCTAGCAATGCTCTCACGTTGTCGGCCCCTTGTTACACTGCACCAGCCACCGTTTATTTCCACACCACCCACTATGTTCCCTCCTCATCAACCACCCTGCTCTCTCCTCACCTCACCACCTGCCTTACCCTCTTCTCTCTCTCTGTAGGGATGTGACAGCACCCAGCGGCCTCACCCCCGCCCGCTCCTTGCCTTTTCCATCCGACTGGACGGCTCTCACCAGCCTCAACACCCTGTGAGCTGCCTTCCCGCCCGCCCGCATGCCTGCGTACCTGCTGCTTGCGTGTCGCCCTGCCTGCTGCTCGCTTGTCACGTCACTCTGCCCGAGGCCCACGATTCACCCTGTCATGTGTATCGAGGCCACAGACTGCCAGCAGCAGCTGCTGCTAAAACAGGGGCACGCAGGCACAGCAGCAGCAGCAGCAGCAGCAGCAGCAGCAGCAGCTGGAGGCTCAGGCGGAGGGTCGACCCGCGTCACGAGACGAGGACTGAGCATTGTATCCGGCTCATTTGAGCGAGCCTGTTTGGCAGCCCTTTCACCCTCTGTGTGTGCCATATGATCTTGAGATCCTGCCCCCCCACTCATGAATAACCTCTGGTTCTCTGCTCTGCTCGCTGCACACCCCACCCCACTCTCCCCCCCATCTCAGGAGGGCAGCGGGCAACGGCTTCTCCGGCTCCCTACCCGCCGCCATCTCCGCCCTCACTGCCCTCTCAGAGCTGTACGCCATTTCTCCCATGAGTCCTCGGGCACCTTTCTCATCAGCACACTCGTGGCTTACCGTTACTATGTTGCAGATTCGAAGCAACAGTGCCGTTGTGCCTGCTGCCTGCCTGCCTGCCCTGCCTGCCTGCCTGCCTGCCCGTCTGCCCGCCTGCCTGCAGGGATCTCTCTAATAACGCCCTGGCTGGCTCTCTGCCTGTGCTGCCCTCGTCTCTGGTTCTCCTGTGAGTAAACCAAGAGGAGAGGTCGGTTGAGAGGAGGAGAGGCATGTGGATACTGGGCTATAGGGATTGTGCTCCTGGGCTCCCTGCCTCCCTTCCTTCGTGCCTTGACCGTAAACCCTGCTACTGGTGAATCCCTGAATCTGCTGCTGACTGTGCTCCGTGCCATCCTCTCTGCTCTCCTCTCTGCTCTCCTCTCTGCTCTCCTCTTCTGCTTGCCTACAATCCTGCCACGCTTGTCCATTCGATTCAAACAGCGCATGCTCCCTGCTTGCCTGTCCTACAGCGCGCTCGCACATGCATAACTTCCCACTTCGCATGGACAGGCCTCCCCAATAACCCCACTGCTGTGCCCCCTTGCGTTGCCCCCCATCTCCCCATTGCTTGCTCTGGGCAGCTCGCTGAGCCACAACGCCCTGGAGGGCCCCTTCCCTGCCTCTCCTGCTGCCCCGCACCTCCTGGAGGTCATGTGAGTGGCGGGTTGTGGCTTGTGAGATGCATGGGGGGCATGGGAGGCATGGGGGGCATGGGAGGCATGGGAGGCATGGGGGGCATGGGAGGCATGGGGGGCATGGGAGGCATGGGGGGCATGGGAGGCATGGGGGGCATGGGAGGCATGGGGGGCATGGGAGGCATGGGTTGCATGGGAGGCATGGGGGGCATGGAAGGCATGGGGGGCATGGGAGGCATGGGAGGCATGGGGGGCATGGGAAGCATGGAATGCGACAACTTCATGATGAGCATCCATCCACAAGCGTCTGACCCATTCCATCTCTCCCATCCCACAGGCAAATGAGCCACAATCGTTTCACATGGCCCACTCCAGCATCATTCTCAGGCCTTGCTGCCCTTGCCACTCTGTGAGTCTCTTCAACCCACCTATGTCACCTCCATCTCCCACCTCCATCTCCCACCCACCTTCGTCTCCCACCTTCGTGCCACCTCCATTCCCAGCCGGCAAGTCATGGCTGTTGTTATCTTGCAGTATCACCTGTGGATCAGATGCACCGCCCCCAACACCCCCACCCAACCAGCACCCATATCCAACTCACTTCCTTCCACAAGCGCACCACCCTCTCCCATACTCATATCTTGGCTTCCTCTCTCGTCTCCCCCGCTTCTTTCCCCCCCCTGCACGCCATCTCTCACGGCAGCGATGTGAGCTACAACGATCTGTCAGGGCCCATCCCTCCATCCTTGGCAAACCTTCCCCCGCTCGTCAACCTGTAAGCCCCATGCATCCCCTTCCACCCATTGCACCTCCGCCTCCCACCCACCTTCCTCTCCCACTTCCTTCCATCGCAAATGTGTAAGTCTGCTCGCACCATACCTGCCATCCCCATGCCCCACCCCTGCCATGCCGTACCCATGTCCCCTTGGGTTGCCCCCCCACAGGGACATCAGCCACAACGCTCTCTCGGGCGGCCTGGACGTGCTTGCACGCATGACCAACATCTCCACCCTGTGAGCACCGCGCTGCGTGGCATTGCGCCTCGCCGCGTTGCGTTGCGTCATGCCTGCAGGCATCCTCCTCGCAGTGCCGTGCCCCTCGCCTCTTGGTCTCCTCTACTGCTCCCCCATCTCCATTGCAGCTCAGTCTGCTCGTTTCCCTTTGCTCCTGCGTGCCGTGTCCGTTTGCCTCCTCACCCTCCTCGCTGCCACACTGCCTGCCCTCCTGTAGTGACCCTTATCCTGCCCTGCCCTGCCCTGCCCTGCCCTGCCCTGCCCTGCCCTGCCCTGCCCGCCCCACAGCAACATCGGGTCGTGCAACTTGTCTGGCGCCTTCCCTGCTCCCCTCGCACTCCTCGCCCTCTCCGAACTGTATGACACGCCTCCTCCCCACCCCACGTCACTCATGCTGCTCCCCCACTCTGCTCCCTCACTCTGCTCACAGTGCACCCCACACACTCACATTCAACATCCCCCTAACCTTTCTGCTTCCCCCCCCCACTCCTCTCCTCTCACCCTCTCCATGCAGCTTACCCATCTTGCCTTCCCCACCCTCACTTCCCACCCTCTTCCTTACCCTTCCTGCCCTCCCCTCCCTCCCGTCCTCCTGTCTGCCCCCCCTGCCCTCCCTCTCCCCCTTGCCTGCCCTCTCCTCTCTCTCCGCTCTGCAGCGACATATCCAACAACAGCTTCACGGGGCCCTTCCCCTCCGCCATGCTATCTGCACCGCAATACAAGAGGCTGTACGCATGCACACATGCCCACCCCTGCTGCATGCTCTCTCACTCCACTCTCCCCTCACTCGTGCCTCTCCCAACTGCATGTTCTTTCTTTCTTTCTTTCTTTCCTTCCTTCTTTCTTTCTTTCTCTCTTTCTTTCTCTCTTTCTTTCTTTCTTTCTTTCTTTCTTTCTTTCTTTCTTTCTTTCTTTCTTTCTTTCTTTCTTTCTTTCTTACTTTCTTTCTTTCTTTCTTTCTTAATACTCTGCCTCTGCTGCCTCCTCGCAGCAATCTATCGGCCAACAACTTCTCTGGCCCACTGCCGCCACAGCTCACAACGCTCACAGCAGTCAACAGCTTGTGAGCCCTCTGTCAATGCGGTGCCTCCTGCATGCATGCATGCATGCCTTTGGGTCATAGCTTTTACAATCTTGTTTTCAATGTTTTTTTTGCTGACAGTGCTGGTTTAACCCCCCCCCCCTGGGCTCCTCCCCCTCCTCCCCACTCCCCCTTCCCGCCCGCCCCCCTCCCTAAATGCATCCCTACCCCATCAGTGACATCTCTCACAATCAGTTCACTGGAGTGGTGTCCCCTGCCGTCTTCACCCTACCTTCGCTAACGGCCCTGTAAGCCCACTCCCCTCCACCCTCCCCGTGCATCCCATGTTCCTTCCGTACATCTCTTGCTGATGCCGCGCATCCCTTTCTGATACCATGTGTGCTTGCTTCACCCCCCTCCCTCCCCAACCGACTCTCTCTCCCTCGCCCCAGCTCCCTCGCTCACAATCAGCTGGAGGGCTCTCTGCCTGCCACCGGCCTGTCCGAATACCTCATCTCCCTGTACGGTCACATGCATGCCGGGACTGGTAGACGCTGCTGAATGCCCAGTGGGTTGAGCTTGCGCACGCACGCATGCCGGGACTGGACAGGGCTGAATGACCAGTGAGGGTGGGCTTTACTTGAGCACGTGGAGCATAGCAAAGTGTCCCACGCGCACCTACCATCTCTCTTCTGCCTCCTTGCCATCTTCTGTGTATTCATGCTTCTGTTTCTGCATGCCCCTATCTCTTTCCTTGCCCGGATGGCAAGTCAACCCTTGAGAGAGTACGACTCAGTTGTTATAACCTCACGTTCCGCCCACCCAAGCACGGTGTTTGTCTCTTCAACGCAGACACCACCCACCGAAGCATAACCATCCTCGTCCCCTCTCTCCCATCCTCTTCCACCCTCGTTCCGTTCCCCTCACCAGCGACATCAGCGACAACCAGTTGAGCGGCCCTCTGCCTGAGTCCATGACCCTCCTCATCTTCCTGGAGTCCCTGTACTGAATCACGCGGGAGGGGGAGGGGGGAGGGGGAGGGAGAGGGTGGGTGGGAGGATGGGGAAGGGGGCGTGTGTGTGTGGAAGGGCGATACATGCACATGCTACGGTACCTATCACCTTGTGCTACTCTGTGGGGCCAATGGCTTGCAGGCACTATGAAGCAGCGAGGCTGCTAGCTGAAGCACTCATGTGTGGGTCGCTTGGATTTGCATGGGATGATGTGCAATGGCATGGCATGGCATGGTGTAACGTGGAATGGCATGGCATGTGATGGGATGAAATGGAACGGCAGGGGCCTTGGAGGCAACAACTTGACTGGTCCCATACCTCCTGTCTTTGGCATCCTGGACAACCTCTATTACTTGTGAGTCTGCTCCCATGCACGCATGCACCCATGCACGCATGCACCCATGCACGCATGCACCCATGCACGCATGCACCCATGCACGCATGCACCCATGCACGCATGCACCCATGCTCCCATGCACGCATGCACCCATGCACGCATGCACCCATGCTCCCATGCACGCATGCACCCATGCACTCATGCACCCATGCTTCCATGCACGCATGCACCCATGCTCCCATGCACGCATGCACCCATGCACGCATGCACCCATGCTCCCATGCACGCATGCACCCATGCTCCCATGCACGCATGCACCCATGCTCCCATGCACGCATGCACCCATGCTCCCATGCACGCATGCACCCATGCACCCATGCTCCCATGCACGCATGCAGTCATGCTCCCATGCACGCATGCACCCATGCACCCATGCTCTCATGCACGCATGCACCCATGCTCCCATGCACGCATGCACCCATGCTCCCATGCACGCATGCACCCATGCTCCCATGCACGCATGCACGCATGCACCCATGCACCCATGCTCCCATGCACCCATGCACGCATGCTCCCATGCACGCATGCACCCATGCACCCATGCTCCCATGCACGCATGCACCCATGCTCCCATGCACGCATGCACCCATGCACGCATGCACCCATGCTCCCATGCACCCATGCCTCCATGCATCCATGCCAGATTTGTGTTGCTTGAAGCCACGCCACCACATGCATGCACACATGCCACTCTCTCCGCATATCACACGATCATCAGCACATAAGCATGTTGCACTGGCCACACTACCTCCTCTCCTCTACCTTTCCCGTTTTCACCTCACCTATCTGCATCCTCCCCCCCTCTCTCCCCCCCCTTCCCCCACCCCCAGCAACACCTCAGGCTCGGGGCTGACCTGCCCGGCAGACGGCAGCGAGTGTGGGGTGAAGCAGAGCAACACCTCCTCCTTCTGCCGCCTCTGCTCCTCCTTCTGCTCCTCCTGCACGCCCCTCAAGTGTACGTGCCGTGCCTTGCTGTATGTGGATGCTTGCTTGCCTGCACCCCTAGGTGCATGATGTTCGATGTCCACATGTATGCACATTACTGTACAAAACACCTCCTTGAATGTTTCGGTTAGTTTAAAAGATGTGTTGCGCATGGGTGTATAGGTATGACGTATGTGCATGCAGCTTTTGTGTGCCGGTAGTTGAGTGGTATGTGTCTGCCTGCCACTGCATGCAATTATGCCCCATACTCCAGGGGCAGCACCCACAGCAGCTCCAGCACCCGCAGCAGCACCGGCATCAACTCCAGCAGCAGAATCAACCACAGCAGCGGAATTAACTGCAGCAGCGGCATCGCCAGTGCCTCAGCCACCATCTGCTTCCACCCAGACCCCTCCTGCTCCTCCTCCTCCCAAGCCTGCTTCTCGCCTTTCCGCGCCCACAGCTTCTGCTTTCAGCCTCTTTGCTGCTGCTGCGCTCTCTCTCCTTGCATTTTCTGTCTGAGAAGAAGCTTCTGCGCATGCTCGTTATCTCTCTTAATGTTTTAGCTTTGAGTGGCCTGGTGGAGGATACGGGTAAGACAACATTGAGGCAGCAACTGGATTAGCCATGTAGGAAATGTACGGTACCCCTTCAAAGTACCATGGCCAGCTATGATCTATGGCAGAGATTCACCCACATGCTTCTTTTTACTTACCATTTTAGTTTCAGCCTTTGTCACACCCACTATTACCTATTCTACGTTGATGTACGGCACAAGCTTAGATGACTGGAATTCATCCCCCCCCCCCCCTCCATCACTTGGGTGTTGTTGCATAACACGGCCCTTGTACCATATGGTTGTACGGTACACTGCATCAATTTCAGAAATTAACATTTCACAATAAGATAATTAAAGCTATACATACTATCACCCTATCACCGTATCTAGGACGATCTCTAACCTATGCAAGCATCATTCTCCGCAGCCACACACCAGCCACAATCCTTGAACAAGCAGAGCGGACAGATTAGAGTAAACACGAAGCAATGCAGTTGGGCGGCGTGCACCCATCCCCTTCCATCCACCAGATCCAGCCAGCATCCCAAACACCCTGACAGGCAGGGTGCAAAAAGTGGTGCTCCTCCATTCCGTCCCTCTCTCCTTGCCTCACCCCATCGTCACGCCACACCTGCTGCATTCCCCCCTGCTGCTGCCCTCTCCCGTCCACATTAACCCCCGCCTCCCTCTCCTCCACCCATTGCACTCACCACCACCTCCCACTCCTGCTCTTCCCCGCGCTGCTCCCCCCGCTGCCCCCGAAGGCGCGGATCATGGCGGGGTGGTTGCACACATGCGTCATGCTCAGCCTCTCTTCCGCACGCACTCTCAGCATGCCGCTCACCAGCGCGCGACATTCCTCCGACACGCCCACCCACGCAGCCCCGTCCACAGGCGCCCGCCACCCGCCCTGCTGAGGCGCCTCCCCTGAGTACGGGCGCTCGCCCGCAATCATCTCGTACAGCGTCATCCCCAGCGACCACACGTCAGCTGCGCGCCCATACCCCGCTGCCTCTGCGCTTCGTACCTCTGCTCCCCCCGCTGGTTTTCTGGCGTGCTTGGCGGCGCCCGGGGCGGGCGGGCAGCGAGGGCGGCAGAGAGCCTCGACTCAGGCGCCACGTACCCGGGCGTGCCTGCGGGAATGCTGCACCCGCGCTGCCCCTCCGCCACCACCTGCGCCAACCCAAAGTCCGCCAGCCGCACTGCCCCGGCGGCCATGCGGGGGGAGGTGCGCGCTGAGGAGACGGGCGCGGACAGGCTGAGGGCAGCAGGAGAGGCGCGCGCAGGCGCAGCAGGAGCAGCAGGAGCAGCGGCGGCGGAGAAAGGCAGGGGCGCGGAGAGCGGCGTGGGCTCGGCAAAGAGGGTGTTATCGGGCTTGATGTCGCAGTGCACCACGCCTCGCTCGTGACAAACGCCACGGCGTCGCCCACGTGCTTCACCACTTCCAGCGCCTCCGCCTCCGCCATTCCCCCTCCCCGCCCGCCTTCCCCGCTCGCCTTCCTCCACCACCGCCTCCAATCGCTTCTCCCCGCGTCCCCCGTGGTGTTGCTCGTGGCAGCCTTGCGTCGCTGCAGCAGGGCGCGGAGGTCACCGCCGTGGCACACATCGGAGAGCATGTACGCGTGCTGCTCGGCCAGATGCACCTCGCGCACGCCCAGCACGCCCGGGCACTCGCTCAGCGACGCCGACACCATCGCCTCGTTCGACGCCGCCACCAGCTGCTTCCGCTCCGCGCGCTTCACCGCCACCACCTCGCCGCTCTCCACTCGCCGCATCGCCACGACTGTGCCGAACCCGCCGCGCCCCAACTCGCCGGCTGCGTCGAACAGGTCGGGGTCGAGCACGCCGTCGTACGCGCTCAGCACGAGCGGCCGAGGGCACGCGCGCGGGGCAATGGGTGTAGCAGCGGCGCGGGGAGCGGGAGGTGCTTGGACTGCAGCCGGCACCAGTTTTGCCGATTTAGCGACAGCAGCGGCAGAGTCGCCGGAGCTGGAAAGCGTCGAAGCGACGGACGAATCCGAGAGGTCCGACGAGGCGGCGAGGTCAACGTTGACCGGCGTGGGTCCCGTGGACAAGGTCAACGCCTCGGACGGCGCGTACCACGATGCCGTGACGAGACCTGCCAGCACAAACGCGGAGGAGAAACGGTTGGCACTCGCGTGCTAACCTAACTCTCTCTCGCGTCTACCTGAAAAGAAAGAGGGGTTTCCTGGAAAGAGGGAGAAAGAGAGAGGTAGAAAAAGGGGGTCGAGGACCAAGGCTCCCGTTATCTTCGACGAAAATGTCAGGTAGAAAAGGGCGGTTGAGAAGACTAGTGAGACTAAGCTCTTCCCCATGAAAAGATCGGTTGCTTACCTTCCGAATCAATCTCGTGTTCGTGCGCTTCGGTTCGGCCTTCGCTGATCGGTTTCGCCAGCGACTTACATGAGGAAGCGGTACTATCAACCGACGGCTCGGCCATCCAGATGTCCATGGCGAGGAGCATACGTAAGAATTGATAGCTACTGGTAATGAATTTCGCACTGTTTCAGAGAATGAGACTTGAAAGGCTCTCGGAGCCTACTTGAGACTTATGTGAGATGGTCACAACAAGGAAGCAGAAGCTCAATGTTTGGAGGAAGTCGTGTTGTGTGCACTGAGCAAAGACGAGAAAGAAGTGGCTTCCAAATGTCTGGACTTGTACTGCAGGCAAACAGACTCCACACAGGAGACCATGGAAAATGGACCCAGCAGAGTGAGGTGAGGAGGGTGGAAGGGAGAGCGGCTCGACTGCTGGCGATCACATCGCTGCAGGAGCAAAAGTCACCCCATCGAAAATCGCGGATACAGACCACATTGAAGCATGCCCGAACCTGTCAAGGCTCGTCACGAATCCAAGCCTCATCACGAGATGTGCTGCGCCAGAATTTCGCCTACGCATTTCGCTAGGCTTGTCAGGGCGAGATCCGAGAAACGCGAAGTCGAGGCTCCCTGCGTGATTGGGTCCAGACTTCACGCCGAGCCTCAACTAGGGGGGTTTCCGAACCTCTAATTCATCCATTGACTCCGTTGTCCAAGGCAGGTTTTGGCGGTAAGACCAAAACACAGACCCGAACAGACTCGCGCGGCTCGCAGAACACTAAACAACAGGAAATCCACACCTGTTAAACATGAACAAGACATTCGCAATAACCAACATAAGCTCACCTATAAAAAACCTTGAACCAACTGGTAGCATATGCAGGAAAAAAAACCAACATGTTCTGGAGGGTACTCGCTGGCTTGTTGTACCGTAAAGCCTTCTACACGACATCCAATCATCTATCCCCCGTCCTTTCCTTTCCCTTAGGTTGGCATGTGAGCTTGTGCGAGGGCCAGTGGGCCTTCTGGCACTCCCTGCTGCAGTAGGCAGCCATACTGCATTGTGCACACACCTTGAGCTGCACACCCCCCCTTCCACCTTGACACACTGTGGGGAGGAACAGCCTCGCGGCTCTGCCTTGCCTTTTCGCGTCTCAGCTCCAAACCTCTCACCAGGGGCAGCAGCAGCAGCATGGGGGGCAGCAGCACCGCCAGCAGCTGCAGCAACAGCATCCACATGGGCCTGGGGGCAGTAGCTGGTCTCCCCCAGCAGCATCTCACTCAAACACGCCAGAGGATTCACCCCCCCCCGGCCACGGCTCCAAGTATGATGCCCCTGCCCTCCCCCCCTGCCCCTCGCCAGTCCTTGTGCCCGCATTTGCACCAGTGGCCCCAGGGTCACCAGCAGCAATGACCATGGCAATCAGAGCTTCCTTCCTTGCAGCTGCAACAGCCACATCGTCCCTCATGGCGCGCCTCATGCCCTCACAGCACTCCTCCAACTCCTCTTCCTCCACTCCACCCACTCCCCTACCAGCCCCTCTCTGCAACGCCGCACCATGTGCCTCTAAAGCAGGCCACGCGTTCCCAGCCGCCATGCGCCAGCTTTCCACCTCCTCCCACATCCTCCACTCCTCCTCCCCCTGCTGCTGCTGCTGCTGACCCTCCCCCCTTGCTTGCCCGCCCCCGTCCTGCCCGACAGGTTCCAGAATGGCCTCGAAGCCTTCCTCTTTCAAGATGAGCTGAGTGCCATAGAAGATGAGCGGCAGGTGATGCTCCTCCATCACGCCTTCCAGCAGCGCCGCCACCAGCGAGTCCGGGACCACCGCAGGGAGCGGCGCCACGCCCAAATTCTCCAGGAAGCTTCTGAAGCGGGCGGAGCGGGCTGGGAAGAGTGAGAGGATGCAGCGCAGCAGCGCGGACGAGGGGCGGCAGGCGAAGGTGACGACGAGAGACGTGAGGTTCACGGCCAGGTAGTACGTGCCAATGCAGCAGTCGCAGCGGGTGCACACAGGTGCAGGCAGAATGCTGTTCGCAATCATCTCTATCAGGATGTCCACTTGGATTCTGGACCGTAGGATGGGCTTGATTCTGCCAGGCGCAAACGGCCCGAGAGCCAGAGCAGCCCATGCTCGATCCCTGAGGCCCAGACGGCCAGCCCAGGAGGTGATAGCGCGGGCCAGAGGGCCGTTCCTGCCCTCCCTTGCCAGCCGTGCAGGGGCGAACCTTCTCAGAAACTCCTCCACACGGTGGCTGAGCGTGGGGAAATAAGGACCGCTGGTGTTGTCCTGCAGAGTGTACCCACCACCAGGGTTGTGGTTCACGGTGGACAGTGTACCCAGGGGGGGCAGGTTCAGCTCCCTCACGTTGTGCTCCTTCTTCACCTCCTCCCTGTCCACCTCACCGCCCTGAAACGCCCCCACATGGAGGATCTTGATCCCCATGAACTCCCCCGTGTCCTTCTCACCCTCCGCCACTGCCGCCCTGTCCCCCTCCGGAAACTCCTTCCAAACGGTCGCAGGCGAACCTTCCAAGCCTGTGGCAGCCTGAGGCTTGGGCGCAGCGCCGAACCTTTGCAGCAGGTTTGGAAGGTCATGGATTGGATGCAGGAGGGCGATGGCAGGCTTTTTCCGATCGGAGCATATGCAGTGCTCAGAGGAGTTGACCCTGAACCCATAAAGTCGCACCCACCGCAGCAGGCAGGTAACTCGGTACGTGAACAGCCCAACCACCGCGTTACTGTTCACGGGCACTAGCCTGGCGCCACTTGCAGAGCTGGATGCCTTGGTTGCACCTGTAGCCCCAGCAGCAGAAGAAGCAGGAGCCACTCTTGGGACGTCTGAATCCACTGCTCGCTTCCCTCGATCCTGCACTCCACTGCCCTCTGTGCCTTTCTCCCCCGCTGCCAGCAGGTTCCTTGCTTCCTCCACAGCAGCGTCCTCCACCCTCTCCTTGAACCTGCTGCCAGCTGAGTCCGAGAAGACCAGAGCAGCACTCTGGGCAAACAGCGGCTGGCAGAAGAGGGTGGCGCACTTGAGGGCGAAGTCTGTGGGGTCCGCACCAGATATCACCATGCCACTGCTGCTGCCATCACTTCTGCCATCGTTACCATTGCTGCTGCCACTGTTGCTGTCAGTGCTGCTGCCACTACCACTGCCGCCACTGGTGCTGGGTTGGTCGCCCACAGCCCCAGTCGCTCGTCCCTCTGCTCCCTCGCCTTCACCACACTGCGAGCAGCAACAGCGGTACTGCTCGCGTGCCAGCCCTCCCTGAGAGACAATCTTCCCCACGCGTTCCACATACTCCTCCCACTCCACCCCCCTCAACCCCTCCCTCCACTCACCCCCCCTGGCCCACTCCCCTCCCCTTACTCCCCCCTCCCCCTCCCGCCTGCCCATGCGCGTCCCTCCCCCCCGGCAGCAGTGGCAACAGGTGGGCAGCAAAAGCCAGTCTCCAGCTGCTGCTTGCCCTTCACTCCCAGCACCTGCAGCAGCAGCGACGCCAAGCAGTTGCCCGCAGCCTGCCGGCCCCCTCCAAACTAAAACGCCACGTTGGGAAACGCCACAGTAGCAGACCGGATGTTTGCTCTCCAGAGGGTGACAAAGCGGGGGAACTTGGCGACAAGCACGGTGAAAGCAGGGATGGACACGGCACGGCGGTAGCGCGTCCAACAGCGGCTGCACTGCCAGCAGCACCACCACAGTTCTTGACGGCTGGCTGCCTCTCCTCCGGTACTTCTAGTCCCAGCGGCTGCACGCGCAGCAGCCAGACTATCAATGCCTAGAATATATGCCAGCTGGCGCCGAATAATCTGGAGGTCCAGTAGCAGGCCGACACGTGGCTCTGCCAGCCATTCGAGCATCATCCCCTCTGCTGCAACCACAGGCGCCGCGTCCACCTTCCACCGATACTGGTCTGCCAAGGATGGGGCGGAGGCCAGCCCAGGCCCAGCACTCGCAGCCGGAGCAGCAGCAGCAGCAGCAGCGCCGGAATTGCCTGGAGGGCGGAGAGGAGGGGCGGAGAGCGGGATGGTGGCGGAGTAGGCGAGGATGGGCGGCGTGGGCTTGTTGGGGAGGCGGAAGGGCAGCATGGCGGGCGGCACGGGCTGCTGCAGGTGCTTGCGCAGGGAGGTGAGTGAGGAGATCTGGAAGGTGATGGGTGGGGCGGGGCGGAGCATGCGGGGGAGGCAGCAGGCGCAGAGGGAGTGCGACCACGGCAGGTGCACGTCCACGTAGTGCACCATGTGCGCGCACGATAAGGGCGCGTTCTCCGCGTGATGCAGGGGTATACGAGCGTGCTCCGCATGTGGGGGGGCGCCTGCGCCTCTGCTGCTGCCTCCTCCGCTCCTGCTTTGGTCACTGGAGCTGCTCCTGCTGCTGGTTCCGCTGTCGGTGGTGCCGGAGCCAGTAGTAGGGGTGCCGATGCTGGTGCTGCCTGTGGGAGGCGCAGGGAGAGGAGAAGGTTCAGCAGCTGTGGAGGCGGAGACAAGTGCGAAGGCGCAGGCGAATGCGGACGCGGGAGATGAATGCATAGGCGGAGGCAAGCGCATAGGCAGAGACCAGTGCGGTGGAGACAGGTGGAGGGGCGGAGACTGGCGCAGAGATGAGAGCAGAGTCTGAGTCAGCAGAAGGGAAGCCTGAAATCTCAGGATTGGAACTTCCGGGGGGAGTGATCATGGACGCGCAAGCCTGATTACCTTGAGGAGCTGCAAGTGGGGGATGTGGGTGATCAGTGACCACTGGACTTTTCTCCTCCCCCTCCGCTGTTGCTTTTTCCCCAACCACATCGTTATTCGTGCCACTGATGCCGCTGGAGTTGCCAGCGCTGATCTGCGCTGAATTCTCGCGATTCACCTCTTTCGATTTCACTGCTAGCACTTTGATCACTGTACCCGTTTTAAGCCTCGCCTTGACGGCGGGTACAGCAGGCGATAAATACACCACTTGTCCGATAGCCATGAACCGAACCGCCTGCTTTTCGTCGCTTCTGTTGCTCCCCTTCCCTTCCTCCTGAACTCCTGCATTCTCCGCGTCATCATGTTGCTGACGTGTCTGCTGACCTGGCAGACAGCAATGCGGCAGGTGGAACAGAAAGAGCTTGTCAAACGCTGATTGGAGAGGCTCCTGCGGATCAACGGTGATGGGATAGTCCACGTGGGAAGCCGCTGGATGTTGGACCGTAGCCGCGCTTCCTCCTTCGCCGCATTCAGCGGCAAGGCCAGTCGCAGCGCTGCTTCTAGAGTCAATGCTGTTGCCGTCATTTGAGTCATTACGGCCCTTGAGCAGAAAAGCGGGAACCCGAAATCGAAGCGTGAATTCCATGTCGCACACCAGGAAACGCGCGGCCTAGGAACGAGTACAGTACTAAGCTTGGCGAGTGCTACCTTGGAGCTATCACCACCTTCAAAAGTCTAACACGCAGCGAGCAAGAGGAAGAAAAGCGCGACCTTGCAAGCCATTATGCCTGGAAATAACGTGCATCCTCAACTCCAGCCATCGTGGCTCCGCGTTACGAAACGAGAATGATTGGCTGGAAGGGCTCTGTAGATTCGCTCGTGCTTTTTGACCAGAGTGGATTTAGAATGTCGTGATGGCGTCGGGGAACCGCATCAGCTCGCACAGCCGTTTTGATTGTGCCGAATGTCGACTGACCTGACATCGATTTCTGGTCAAATCTCCCTGCACCCAGAACATTTCTGTTTTCATTCTTGGAGGTCCCGACGACCCTCCGTCCCAACCCGAGCGTGGTGGTGAAAAAAGATCAAGTTGGAGCCGAACCAAAATCTTACAGCGGGATGAGCAATCAAGGGCCGGAGCTCCCCAAGCGGCTAGGCCTAAAAACCGAACCGTGTATCGGGTAGAATGACACTTTCGTCACTCTCAACAGGGCCCTCCAATCAAAGCATTCGTAACATGCATGCAGCCATCATGGCCGTAGTTTGGGATGCGCGTTTATTCCAGCCAGGAGCCATCACGCTTGAGCCATATTTCTCTTCTCGGTTGCTGCACGGAAGGCCTTTGAAGGAGTCATGGCGCATTGTTTCCGATAGATCCAAGTTTGTGCTCGCTGAGCGCATTCTTTCCCGCCTAGGCCTCGTGTTTCCTTTCTGCAACATGGAATTCACGCTTCGGTTTCGAGTTCCCTCTGTTCTGCTCAAACCGAGCTGTTCTGATGCGAATATCGGGAGCAGCATCGACGCTAGCTACACCGCGGCCTCCAGGCCGTTTTGCTGCCGAAGAGAGCGCAGCAGCGCCGTCGGTGGCGCATGAGTATCGGTGGAAGGTGGACGCGGCGCCTGTGGTTGCAGCAGAGGGGATGATGCTCGAATGGATGGCAGAGCCACGTGTCGGCCTGCTACTGGACCTCCAGCATATACGGCGCCAGCTGGCGGATCTTCTGGGTATGCATGATATAGCTGCTGTGCGTGCGGCCACTGCCGTTGGGGATAGAGGCACGAGAGCAGCAGGTAGCCCTCGCCTGTGGTGGTGCTGCTGGCTGTGCAGTGACTGTTGGACGCGCTACCGCTGTGCCGTGTCCATCGCTGCTTTCACCATGCTGGTCGCCAAGTTCCCCCGCTTCGTCACTCTTTGGCGCGCGCACATGCGGTCTGCTAATTCGATCTTTTCCCCAGCTGGCGTTTCAGTTCGGCGCGGGGCGGCAGGCTGGGGGCGACTGCTTGGCGTCGCTGCTGCTGCAGGTGCTGGGAGTGAAGGGCAAGCAGCAGCTGGAGACCGGCTTTGCTGCCCACCTGTTGCCGCTGCTGCCGGGGGGGAGGGACACGCATGGGGAGTGGGGAGAGGGAGGGGAAAGTCGGGGGAGGGAGGGGGGAAGGGGGGAGGAGTGGAGGGAGGGGTTGAGGGGGATGGAGTGGGAGGAGTATGTGCAGCGCGTGGGGGAGATTGTTGCCCAGGGAGGGCTGGCAGGCGAGCAGTACCGCTGCTGCTGCTCGTAGTGTGGTGAAGGCGAGGGAGCAGAGGGAAGCGCGATTGGGACTGTGGGAGACCCATCTGGCAGCAGCGGTGGCAGCTGTGGCAGCAGCAGCAGTGGCATGGTGGTATCCGGTGTGGACCCCACCGAGTTCGCCTTGAAGTGCGGCACTCTCTTCTGCCAGCCCATGTTCGCCCGCGCTGCTGCTCTCATCTTCTCCGACTGTGCTGCCCACCGCCACAAGGAGAGCGTGGAAGACGCTGCCGTGGAGGGAGCAGTGAACAGGCTGGCAGCGGCGGAGAGAAGCACAGAGGGCAGTGGAATGCAGGACCGTGGGAAGCGAGCAGTCGATCCAGAAGGTCCAGCAGTGTCTCCTGCTGCTAGTGCTGCTGGGTCAGCAGGTGCGAGGACCAAGGGATCCAACACTGCAAGCGGCGCCAGGCTGGTGCCGGTGAACAGTAATGCAGTGGTGGCACTGTTCACGTACCGAGTCACGTGCCTGCTGCAATGGGTGCGGTTTTATGGCCCCAGGGTCAACCCTGCTGAGGACTGCCGATGCTTCAACCAGCTGGGGTATGCCACCGCGCTCCCGCATCCACTTCACGACCTTCCAAACCTGCTGCAAAGGTTCGGTGCGGTGCCCAAGCTTCCGGCCGCCACAGGCCAGGAAGGTCTGGCAAGGACGGGCTGGGAGGAGTTTCCAGAGGGGGACAGGGCGGCAGTGGCAGAAGAAGAGAACGACCCTGCGAGGAAGTTTTTCGGATGCAGCACCTTCCACGTGGGGGCGTTTCGTGGCGGCGGCAGTGAGTTGGACGAGGAGGAGATGCAGATGGAGTACAACGTGAGGGAGTTCTACCCGCCCCCGGCCCACGTGGACTCCTTCACGATTCGCTCTCATCACCTCCCTGGTGGCGAGATCACTGTGCAGATCAACACAAGTGGTCCCATCTTCCCCACGCTGGGCCATTGTGTGGAGGAGTTTCTGAGAAGGTTCGCACCTGCAAGGCTGGCAAGGGAGGGCAGGAACGGGCCTCTGGCCAGGGCTATCACCTCCTGGGCTGGGCGCTCGGGCCTCGGGGATCACACGTGGGCTGCTCTGGCTCTGGGGAAGTATTCTCATGGAAGGATAAAGCCCATCCTACGGTCCGAAGCTGAGGTGGATGTGTCTATAAAGCTGATAGCAAACGCCATTTCTCCCATTCCTGCCTGCAGCCGCTGCCACCGCTGCATTTGCATGTACTACCTGGCTGTAAACTACACCTCGCTCATTGCGTCCTTCGCCTACCGCCCCTCGTCCGCGCTGCTGCGCTGCCTCCTCTCGCTCTTCCCGGCCCGCTCGTCCCGCTTCAGAGAGCTCCTAGAGAATCTGGGCGGCCGCTCCCTGCGGTGGTTCCTGACTCGCTGGTGGCGGCGCTGCTGGAAGGCGTGATGGAGGAGCATCGGTTGATGCTGCTCTACATGAACACGCTGCTTCTCACTAAGGAAAATGCCCTTCCGGCCATTCTGGAACCCGTCAGCACCAATGCGGGCGGGCAGGTGGAGGGGGAGAAGCAGCAGCAGCAGCAGCAGCAGCAGCAGCAGGGGGAGGAGGAGTGGAGGATGTGGGAGGAGGTGGACAGCTGGCGCATGGCGGCTGGCAATGCATGGCCTGCGGTGGAGGCGCATGACTCGCCGCTGCAGATGGGCGCAGGTAAAGGGAGGGGGCGTGTGCAGGGGGAGGTGTCGGAGGAGTGCTGTGAGGGCATGATGCGTGCAATTAAAGACGCTGGGAAGGGGCAGAAGGGGAGGACAGGAGCGTGGTACCTGGTGCCATGGCTGGGGGGGGTGAGTCCTCTGGCGTGTTTGAGGGAGATGCTGCTGGGGGAGACCAGCTACTGCCCCCAGGCCCACGTGGATGCCCTTGCTGCTGCTGCTGCCGCTGGTGCTGCTGCCGACACTGCTGCTGCCGACGCCGCCGCCGCCACTGCTGCTGCTGCTGCTGCCCCTGGTGAAGGGCACGGTGGCAAGGGAGGGCAGCGTGGGTGTGTGTCGGCACAGTGTGGCAAGGTGGAAGGGGCGGGGGTGCAGCTAAAGCTATGCTCGCGGTGTGGCAAGGCTGCCTACTGCAGCAGGGAGTGCCAGAAGGCCCACTGGCCCACGCACAAGCTCACGTGCCTGCCCAAGGCCAAGGGGAAGGAAAAGGTAGAGGAATAGATAATTTGGTCTGATAAATACTTGCTAGTATGCAAAGGTTATCAGCTAGGAGAAACACTGTCCAAGGTTATCAGCTTCCTGCGGATTATGGTTGACTCTTCAGGCTAATTTGATTGAATGAAATTTCAGAGTTGGTGTCAGAATGTGTAGTTTGTCTAGCCTGCAGTGGGGTACTCTGTAGTAAGTACGACCCCTTAGGGTTTCCTATGTGTATCCACCTGCTTGCTAGTGCAATCCTCTTCGCCAGTTTCTCATTCCTGCTAGTTATTTTCGACATGGTATTCAGAGCAGTAGGTCCGTAGGACCGATTTTTTTTAGGGCCCACCTACCGTTGCGATTACTGAGCTGCCCCACGTTGTGCCTGCACTGCGCTGCCCGCACGCGCCCTGCCTTGCCTGCGCTGCGCTGCCCGCGCGCGCCTTTGCCTTGCCTGCGCGCGCTTCCCTAGTCCCGAGCGCGCCGCCTGCTCCAGCCACTTGCGCGCCGTCCCAGCAGCTTGTGCGCCTCCACTGCAGCCTTGCGCGCAGCTTCTCCTCGCCTGCACTCTGCTTTGTCGCCTGCGCGCTACTCTTGCTCGCGCTGCAACCATGGCAACTCTAAATGTCCTCGCTTTCGATCCTGACAGTCGCCCAATAGAGCTTGCCACTTGGCACGACGATCTGCAACTGTTTCCTATGACTGATGCCAAAGACGGACTTTCACTGTTCGATCACGAGTTTGGCACTTCCGTTGCTCCTGCTGACACAGCTGCCGCTCTTGACCGCTCATAGTGGCAGACTCATGATGCTGCTGCGCGCCTCGCTATTCGCAACCATCTGCCGATCACTAAGCGCGCGCACTTTAGTCAGCACAAGACTGCTAAGGCACTCTATGAGGCTGTAGTTGCCCGCTACTCTTCCTCACCCACTGCAGCCCTAGGTCATCTTATGCTACCCTACCTGCTCCCCGACCTGTCCTCGTTTACCACCGCTGAGGACCTCATCTCTCACCTCCGCACTAGTGACGCTCGCTTTCGTGCCGCCCTTTCAGATGAGTTCCTCGTCGAGAATCACCCCCCCGATGTACTTCACTCTCTACTTCCTCATCACCCGCCTCCCTGACACTCTTCGCTCAATCAGGGACCACTTTCTCGCCCTAGACCCGACCACTCTCACTATCGCCGACTTCGAGACGCACCTCCTAGCACCCGAAAAGAACATTCTCGCTGTAGGTGCTACTCGTGGCACTCCTCGCACTCCCCTCTTTGAGGGGTGCTCCCCCTCCCCTCTTGCCCCCTCCTACGCCTCTGCTGCTGCTGCTCTAGACTACCTTGGTGCTGAGGAGGTCGGGGCTGCTTCCGCTCCTAGTGGGAAGCGCCGCAGCGCCAGGGGCAACAGGGGTGGTAGGGGAGGTGGAGGTGGCGGTGGAGGGGGCAGTGGTGGAGGCGGCGGGGGTGGTGGAGGTGGTGGGGGTGGTCGTGGGGGTGGAGGTGGTGGTGGGGGCGGCGGGGGTACTGCGGGCAGTGGAGGTGGCAGCAGCGGGAGTGGGGGAGGAGGGAGCGGTGGTGGCAGTGGTGGTGGGGGCTGGAGTGGAGCCGGCCAGAAGGGGAGCTCCAGTGGTGGCCAGGGACAGCAGCAGTAGCAGGAGCAGCGTCAGCGTCAGACCCCCACGTCTCAGCAGCTTCATGACTGGTACGCTCAGCATGGGGCGTCTGGGGTTCCTACTCGCTGCACCTATATCATTCGCACAGATCCCCGCACTGGTCGCCCATGCACCGTCTTTCACACGGAGTACCGCTGCTTCTCTCGGCTCAGCGACACCTGGCGCACCAAGTTTCTTGAGGCTAATGAGTTACCCCCTTGGGCAGACCTGCTTAGGCGTGATGTTCCTATCTTTGATCTTGACTATGATGCAATTCTTGCTGCCTCATGTACCTGATGACCTGCACTCGACCTGACCTTGCGTACCCTCTTGGCCTTCTGGCTCGCTACGTGGCTCCTGGTAGGCACCGAAAGGTGCACATGGATGCTACTAAGGGGGTACTGCGCTACTTGTGCAGTACATCGGGCATGGGGCTTGTGGTTGGAGGGCGGAGCCCAGTTGTCCTCACTGGGCGCTCAGACGCTTCTTGGGTTGACGACCTAGCTACGCAGCGGTTGTGACAGGGTTATACGTTCAGCCTTGGCTCTGGCTCTGTTTCGTGGCGGTCTACACGCTCGTCTTCTGTTCTCGGCTCCAGTTGTGAGGCTGAGATCTACGCCACAGCCATGGCTGCACAAGAGCTATGCTGATTCGCCTACCTGCTGACCGACTTGGGAGAGCGGCCTCATTCTCATCCAGTTCTGTACGTAGACAACAAGGCCGCCATTGCCTTGTGTTAGGAGCACAGAACGAAGCACATCGCTCTGCGTTACTTCCTTGCTCGAGAGTTGTAGTAGCGTGGTCAGCTTCATCTTGCTCACGTGGTCACTCGGGCCAACACTGCTGATATATTCACCAAGGCACTTCCGTCTGGTGATCATCAGCGGTTTTGTACTTTGTTAGGCCTTGTGCCCTGGTCGCCCATGCACCGGCTTTCACACGGAGTACCGCTGCTTCTCTCGGCTCAGCGACGCCTGGCGCGCCAAGTTTCCTGAGGCTACTGAGTTCCCCCCTTGGGCAGACCTGCTTAGGCGTGATGTTCCTATCTTTGATCTTGACTATGATGTAATTCTTGCTTTCATGTATGCATTGACTGTTAGTGCTGAGGGTGACTGCTACTTGTGTGTACCATCTGACCCAGGTATAGAGTCAGCAGCCCTATGTGCTAGTGAGTCCGTTCTCCCTGGTATTGCGTCCGCTCAGGCCTTGCACACCTTTACACTTGACTCTGGTGCTTCCCGCTATTCCTTTTGCGACAGTACCACAGTCACTCCCCTCCTTGCATCTGTCCCTGTCTCACTGGCTGACCCCTCTGGGGGCCCAGTGCTAGCACGGTCCACTACTGTGCTTCCGTGTTCGGTGGTCCCGTTTGGTGAGCTGTCTGGTCTCCACCTCCCCTCGTTCTCTACGAACCTAGTGAGCAACGCCGTCCTTCAGGATCACTGGGTTGACACCTTTACTCCTGGAGGACAGCGTGTGGTGATCTGCACGTGTTTTCGGACTGGCCGCCACCTAGCCACGTTCACACGTGCGCTGAGCCTGAGCGTGAGGATGTACTGAACCTGAGCGTAGGAGCCTGGGGGTGCTGAGCCTGGAGGTGCTGAGCCTGGGAGTGCTGGGCGTGGGGGAGCTGAGCCTTGGGGTACTGGGTCTGGTGGTGCTGCGCATGGGGGCACTGAGGCGTCTGGTGAGCAGTCTCCTCGTCGGCGTATCCCTCTCTCCACACAGCAGCTGCGTGAGTGGTACGTTAGCCGTCAGGGTCGCGCTGCTGGAGCTGGAGGCCCTGCTGCGGGGGGCGCTGGAGCTGGTGAGTCTGCTATTGGAGGTGTTTCTACTGGTGTTCCTGGAACCGCTGGTCCCGGAGGTGCTCGTATTGGAGGTACTGGAGCCGCTGGGGCTGGAGGTACTCCTGGACCTGGAGGTGCTGCTGTCGACTCTGAGGTTGGAGGCTCTGGAGCTGGAGGTGCCGGTTCTGGGGGTGCTGCTGTTGGTGGTGCTAGTACTAGAGGTGCTGCTACTAGAGGTTCTAGAGCTGTTGGAGGTGCAGGCGCTGGTGGCGTTGGCGCGGGAGGTGCTGGAGCTGCTGGAGGTGCTAGTACTCGAGGTGTTGGCGCTGTAGGTTCTGGAGCTGCAGGAGGTGCTAGAGCTACTGGTGCTGGTGGCATTGCACAGCCGCGACTATTCTTCGCTCCGCCATCACCTTCGTCTCTGCTGCCGCCTGACTCCGTGCTTCGCCAAGTTCTTAGCCTCCCGTCCTCTACTGGTCTTCCGTTACAGCCTGGCTCACCAGTGTTTGCTCCTTCTCCTTAGAATGAGCAGATAGGAGGTCTTGCTGAGCATCGTGCGCCTGCGTCTCGTCCTGTCTTGCCTGTTTGCATTGTCTGCACTGGTCGTACTGGTCGTCGTGTTCCTCGTGAGCGTTCGTCGGCTGTCCTCGGCACGCACCTCATGGCCCTGCGTCCTTCCTCTGCTCCCTAGCGTGTTCCCGTGCCGTCCCCTCCTGCGTCTTCTCTGCCTGACGTTCCAGACCCTGAGTTTGACCGCTCTCGTGCTGCTCTCCCTACTATCACGTGTCTACTTCCCACTATTGTCACCGACCCTTCGTTTGAGTCCACTACTGCGTCTGCTTTAGTCGCTGAGCTTGTTGACTTTGCTGCTGCCTGTCGTCTAGACTTCGCTGCTAGTCTTGTTGCTGAGTCTGAGTTTGTCTGTCCTCCGTCCATCGGGGGTGAGTGTGCTCTTGGCACGGACGTCCTTGAGGATAGGCAGGAGGACTTTGAGTGTCTTGCGGCTCCTGTACCTCATCTCGTGGCCATGTTGCTTACCCATGAGGGAGACCCGGATGCTCCAGACATCCCGACCCCGCGCTCTTACGCTAAGGCGATCGCGGGTGAGTACTCCTCTCACTGGCAGACAGCCTTGGATGCAGAGATGGCATCCAGGAAGTCCACAGGCACTTGCGTCGATGAGGTTCCCCCTCCTGGGGCGAACATCCTTGATGGCATGTGGATTTTCACGGTGAAGCGGCCGCCGGGTTCTCCGCCTGTCTTCAAGGCTCGTTATGTTGCACGAGGCTTCAGTCAGTGACTGGGAGTTGATTTCTTCCAGACCTTCTCCCCCACCCCAAAGATGACCACTCTTCGGGTGCTGCTGCACGTCGCCACTCAGCGTGACTACGAGCTTCACTCTCTGGACTTCAGCACAACGTTCTTACAGGGCAGTCTGCACAAGGAGATCTGGCTGCGCTGCCCACCTGGCTTCACTAGGTCGTTTCCTCCTAGTACCCAGCGAAGCCTCCGTCGGCCGGTCTATGATCTCCGCCAGGCGCCTCATGAGTGGCACGACACAAAGTCAATGGCTCTTGGGTTCGCCCCTTCTAC